CTGGAGCCCAGGGCTCCAGATAAGCAAAAGTAAAAAAAAGATAAAGGTGCCACGGGCACCTCCACTGCAATCTTTCTTTGCATGAGGCAAAACTCTGCTCCTCGAAAAAATACGGGAGGCTGACACTCGGCCCAGAAAGCATGTTTAGGCCCTGTTTTTCCGAAAAGGTAAGGAGACTGAGAAGGATGGGGCGGTCGCTGCCCCAAGACGTTGGGAGGAACTAGCGGGATGGAAGGAGAAGCGGGAATCGGGTTAGCTCCGTGCCAACACTGCTGGCCCAGGGACTTTGCCTTTCCCCGAGGTGTCTGTGTGCTGTGGGACAGCAATGAAGGAGGTGTGGGCATGGCTCTGTCTGAACTGCAAAGGGAGGTGCGTGCTGGGGGATGTTTCTTCACTAGCCCAGTGTTTTCCAGTTCTTCAGAGGCTTTCTACTCCTGACAGGCTTGTGGGCCCAAATGCAAGGGTAAGTCGCTGGCTTTCCATCCTCTTGGTGACCATATTCATCTTGGCTGCAGCTTTAGGCTGGAAGTTTCTGCTCCAGGTGTGGCTGAGGCTCTGCTATCCTGGCTTTCAGGAAATGCCATTCCCTGCCTCTACAAGCTGTTTTAGGGGGAATCAGTCTCCTAAACTATCTCCTCCCTTTTACAGCTGGCTAGAACAGCTGGGCTGCAAGCAACAGGGAGTTGTCAGATTTTTTTTCTCACCCATCCCCAGTCTTGAATGCCTGGTGGGGGAGCAAACTCCATCTGTTCATAAACCCCCCAGGTGGGTAATAATAGATGCTTCATATAGAAAAATTCAATTAGACTTGACAAGAGATGTACGCTAGTGCTTCTTTGCTGGGGCCCCATCTTGCTCTGTTCTGTGCCTCTGGGGGGGAAAAAAAAAAAAACAAAACCAAAACCAAACAAAAAACCCCCCACCACACCAACACGCAAAACCCAACCCTTTGAAGTATAATGGCATTTATAGCCAGGACTAGCAGTGGTGGGCTTTATAGAAAAGAAATTACAGTGGGATCTCATACAACTGGAGCCACCAAGATGCAATTTGCTACCCAGGACATCAGATGCCAGCTGCTGAGAGCAGGAAAGGGCAGTGTGGTGCTGCATCTCGGGCTTCTCTTAGTGCCTTTGTGTATTAAAGCAGCCAGGGCAAGAGGTGTGTTCATCCTGTGTCTTGGCCAAGAGCGAGTAGCTTGTGTCTTAAGCTCTCTCTCTCCAGTTCTCATCATCTGGCTGTTTTGTTCCAACGTGAGGTGTTTCGGAGGACGTTTCCATTCTTTGTGCAGTGTAGCTCACTACTAAGCTCAGCGGTGCTCTGCCCCAGGGGTGGCTGTGGTGCACGGAGGGTTTGATGGGCAAAGGAAACAGGAGCCTTTCTACAGCTCTTATTGCCGTGTTCAGGACTGAGAGGAGACCCTTTTGTGTGGTTTTGGGGTTTTATTCAGCATGAATGCTTCAGCAACGGAGTATTTTTGTGTTTTGATGCTTGGATTTCTAAATACTCTGAGTCTGGGCGATGAGAATATACGTTATAAATTACTTAGGACAGACCTCTTTGTCTGTCATGCATACGTCTGCGTTAGTCATCAATGTTCCCAAAAGCTACTGTGTCTTACCACACAGCTGCTTGCTGGTGCTGGCACAACAGAAAGCAGAAGGAACTCCCATTGAAGCTGTGTGTGATAGAGCCCTTCAGTGGCTCGGAGCTTGAATACATCTAAACCCTTTTGTCACAGTTGCACCGACTTTCTGTAATCCTATGAAGTTGCATTGTCTCAATTTCCATGAAGTCTGTAACATGTGAGAACCCATTAACCTCCTGTGCTCTGTTCCCCTCTGACAGATGAGGTGACATCGTCTTGGCATTGGATGTTTGTGTATGGTGCAGATTTCAGTGTGTTCAGGCTTCTGGTATTTGATGAAAATTCAAAAGGCATTTGGAACAAAATATTTATAATGTGAGCAAGACTTTTCCTCCCCCTCCCCGACTACCCAGGCACTCACCTGCTTTGGGACTGTAGCACTGGCATGGCTGAATGCAAGGAGCAATCGCTCCCCTGAGGTCAGCAGCAGCTTTTGCAAGAAGCTCTGTGGAGCAGAGGTAGCTATTCTCTGCAGTGAAGTTGCAAGGCACTGAGTGTCTTGGAAGGCACCTCTTGGAGGTGAGAGGGAAGGCCAGGACAGCTTTGCAGGATGCCCCTGACAGCCCCCGTGAACATCAGGCCTGGGAGACTCCTGGGTTTTGGATAGGACCGGTTACCACCGCTCCATGTAACAGAAAAAGCATGTTTAAGCACAGGACACAAATACCCAGCACACAAGGAAAGATCCACACACAATTGTGTCACTTTATTATGTTTGCCTGGACTCTGGCGTGGCTGTGGTTTGGAAGGCCAGTGTGCCCTAGGCTTCCAGGTGCAGCAAGCCCGATGAAGCAGAGGGTGCAGGAAGTGACCGGCTCGGAAGCTCTCTCCTTTGGCTACAAGTAGTAGTAGTCCACTGCACTCCTAACGGTGCACTTTGATGCAAAGTGGCATTCAAGTATGTATGTGCTGGCAGCCCAGGAAGGGAAGACAGACAGACGGACACAAGAACATCAGTGCCTCTCTCTCTAGGCAACACCAGCTCTATTAAAGGGATGCTCTCCTGAGAGGACTAACTAGCAGGGGCAGGCTCGGCTCAGGGAAGCTTAGGGGTCTTTGTTCAGGACGGTGGCTCACGGCCCTGAGTAGTATCAAGAGGCACTAGTGGGAGTGTGTATGAAGTGCTGTCTTGTCAGTGAGCGTATGGAGTGGAGGCAGATGTGTACTTTTTGCAGACACTGTTAGCGGGCAGGAAGAACTGAGATCAAGTGGGGCTAACACAGCTTTCTGTGTGAAGAGTATCTCCTGCCTGCAGAGTCGTACTGGATGACCAGGGTGCTTGTTGCATGAAGCATGCAGAGGCCAGGAAGGGGTAGATGAGTTTGTTTTCATTTGTTCCTGGACTCCCTCCCCAATGTGCTTCTCACCCATTCCCCTAAGTCCTTGTCTCTCTCCCAGCAATTATTCTCAGTTGCCATCTGTCTGAGGGAGCCAAGTGAGGCCCCAGGGTTGGACACCAGAGAGGTTTTGGTTCCCAACGCTTTCCTTGATAGACGGATTCTGGGAACAGTATAAGAGAAAAGGATCCAATCCCTATTGCTTTGCATTATTGCTAAAAATTAAACAGCACTTGGCAGCCAAGCTAGAGCTCCTACGTGGCAAGCAATGACATCTATTGTTTATAAATCAGAGAAGCTAAGGTTCTCCCTGCAGGCCCCAGTTGGTAACAGAGATGTGACAGGGCTGAGTTTCCCTGGTACGTTCAGGGGAAGCATAGACGTTCTTAAGGTCTATGCTTTTCTTTCTTCCTTTTCTTCCACTAACTTCCAGAAAATAGGCTCAAAGTACCCTTAACTTTAAGGGGTGCCCAAGTCTGGGAAGCAGGCAGGAGGGGTGTCCAGCTCGGGCTGGGTGCTAGGTGTTAGTGGCTTAGGAGAGAAGTAAGATCTGCAGGATTTTTAAGTGATCACATGTCTGACAGAACATCAGTGCAAGCGGCGAGGCTGAGTCTCATGTGGTGCTTTCACAAATCTATTCATATTCTTTGCATAGTCCTCTTGAGGAAAGATGGATGGTGGCCCCTGGCATCTTGCAGGCACGTTCATATGCAGAAAGGTTGTATGCTCTACAGCCTGGAAGCAGCACCATGCAGAAACCATTCCAAGGCCATGGGATGCCCTGAGGGAGGTCAGCGCCAGCATGCAGGCCCCAGTTCAGCACGGCTATGGCTCCACTGTCACGCTGCTGTTGGTAACACGTACGCCATACCATCCCTTCCAGAATAGCGTGTCCTGGCCACCGTGTTCAAAGCGGACAAAGCGGACCCCAGGCCCATAGTTGGAAAAGGTGTGGGAGATCTTTAGGACGAGAGACAAAATGGTTGTTGGTAAGTGTCAAACCACCATGAACTTACCCTTCTTTAGCGCACAGAGCCTTCAGCCCCACCTGCCCAAGTCATACCTACCAGGTTGGGTAACAATGAGGACATTCACAGTGGGAGTTACTAGGAGGATCTTTGGTCCCATTGTTTTTCAGAGGCCACTGAACCTCTCCCAGTTGGGCATCTCTTTCATCTTATGCCTGCAGTGGTGACCCAGCAAGTTTCCAAGTTTTATGTAAGGTAGCCTCCCAGGATAATCCCCTTGTTCAATCACAGCGTGGTGGCTCCACAGAACACATGACAGAGCCTCCTCCTCCAGGAGAACTCTCCTGATTCTCTCGGCTTGAAAATAGACCCGATTCATGCAGGTTGGGTGTCACCTGCTGAGCCCACAGCTGTAACTCACCTCGGTCCAGCTGGCATCATTGTCCTCTGGGATGGCAATAGTCTCGCTTTTGTACTCGGCCAGAACATCCTCGTTCTCCGAGAGCAGCTTCACACAGAGCTCGTAGAGGCAGCCAGCATCACTGCGTCCTGCGTACCTGCAAGGAGATCCAAGCTGCTAGCCTTACCTGTGTGAACTCTGCAGAGAGCCAGAGCATGCAACTGCATCGTGCTGAATGCAGGCTCTAGAATCTCATCAAGTTATTGGGGCTACGGGTTTCAGGTGGAAATCTGTAATGGTTCTTACCCCAACCCACCGCCTCCCCTCATTCACAACAGGGACCTGGTCTTTACAGGCCATGTGCGCCAACAATTTGAAGCTGGTGGGAGCTGCCTGTGGTGCTGTAAGCCAAGACCCAGCCCTGTCCCACATCCAGGGGATCCTGGCAGCTGAGGTTTTAAGGCCCAGCGCAGGTATGTGCCCTCCCTGCCCTTCCTTCGCTTTCTTGACTCTCTGCCTGCCTTCTGAGGAATCCTTGCAACTTACCAGTCTTTTACTACAACTTTAGGCTGGGTTGTATCCATCAGCTCTTCCCAGTAGCCCTCAGCCCTAAGGTCGATGACCTGAGCCTTTCGACACCACCTGAAACACAAGATGTTAGTTGGTATCAGTCTCTCCTGAGACTGGGGGAACCAAAAACGTCCCCTTCCCTGAATAAGAGAAGAAAGCAGCCTTACTCATAAGATGTAACAAAGTATTTATGGACTTCTTCACTAGGGAATTCTTTTCCAAAGTCCCCAGGGAGCTCTTCAATTTTCCAGCCATCACCTCCATTCTCTACCTCTCCCCAGTGCTGCAAGTCTTCTGCAAATGGCAGAAAAGAGACTCGGATGAGTCTTAAGTTTCTGTGGGCCTGGGGAACCCGACCAGCTCCCACTGGAACCTTTCTCTGGCTTGCGAGAGGTGTGCTGTCAGATGTAGCACTACTTTTGTATGTAGACTACGGAGATGTTTGTTATGTTTTGCCTTTGTTACAGGCAAAAACCTTTAGTCTGGCTGAACTTAATGTTAACAAATTTTAACGTCCCCCCCCCCAAATGGCTATGTACATGGGGGTTTATCTAAGAAAGTACTCAGTGAGATTATTTAGGTATTCTGATCTGTGTGTCAGTACTTTCAGTGTCATAACATAGGAATAGCCTGGGGAGGGATGCCAATTGCTTTAATTCTAGATTTTCTAAATTGCTAAGTGGTATTTCTAGAAGCGGTATGGTCTTAAACATTGGGCTTTTCTGGTCTTAGTCATAGGGAACCTGGATGTTGGAAAAGCTTGCGGAAAGATAATCTGTAAACAAAATGGAGAAACTGCGTTGATACTGCTTTGGTCTATGATGTGTGAAACGTACTTGCTGCTGCTTGGGTTGTGAGGCTTGGTTACTGCTGCTTATTCCTAAGCATTTTATAGATCTGGCAAGCAAAGGTCATAGATTATCATCAGAATAATGGCGAAAGTGTACAGCTCTAACGTGGGCTGTAGTAAGGAGGGTGCAAACAAGGTTTGCCTGGGCTGCCTCAAGGAAGGAAGCCTGCAGTGCCTGGTGAGCTAAGGGCAGACTAGCTCCTGAGGGGGGAAAGGCTTCATCTTTCCTGTCATGGCTTGGCATGAAGCGATCTAGAAATGCAGATGCCACTACCATTACTGCGTTGGACTGGGGTTCTGCAAAGGACATTTTTGTCTCTCAAACGTGATTCAGATCCCTGCAGGGGCTTATATAAAGTTGATGTCCTGTACAGCCCTTTGCAAAGGCTGATTATCAAAGGCCTTTGTGCCTATTAAATGATTTGACTGCATGTATTAGGTGATTTGACTCTTGGGCAAGAAGAAAATGCTGCCACCTGATAGCAACTAAGATCTCTTTTCAAAGATTGGAGCTGCCCAATTCCCAGTGACTGGTCATCTCTATGAAATCTTGGGGCTTGTTATGCTTGTCTCTCACCTTCACCACATGGGTTCTTGATAAGATTCTTCCTTTTCTTACTCAGGAAGTAGAAGTTTTGCCAGTTCTCTGCATTCTCCTCTGACTCCGCTCCTGTGCGGAACCTGCTGACACTTCAGGATCCAAAGTGCGGCTCCATCGACCAGGTTCTTCCACTGGCAGCAGACCAGGCGGCACACCAGCACCAAATCCACCGCAGGTATGGACGCCAGGATTCTGATCAGGACTGCTTCAGGGAGGGACTCCATCCTTGGGCCAGGCTGGACGGAGCTTTCTGAGAAAGAAGGGGGAAAGGAGTGGTGACGCAGTGGTCCTTCAGACATGGGTCCCCCTGCCTCAGTGATGTCAAACACTGATGCAGTAGAAAAAAGGGAAAATGAGCATGTTATCTGAAAACATGATTTTTGGGGGCATAGATTGCTTCCTAACCTCAAGGGCTCCTGACACCCCTATTAAGTTAAAACCCTGAAGCACGTGAGCAGACTAACATTTTGTGTTCTAAGTGAAGTCCTTAGTTAAGTCCATCCACAAAATGCTAGTAGTTGACATCTGCAGTTGTGACCAGTTTGTCACTTTCCAAGACTGGAATCGGTCCTTCCAGAAATCTCTGCTGCTGCGAAAATCAGCTGCTTAGTAATTAATGACTTTCTCTGCAGAGGGAGGCATCTGGGTGTTTGTTCTGCCTTTAAGAACATCACTGATACCAAATGCCGCAGAGCAGTACCTAAGTATCCGTGGTGAGCATCTCGCCATCCACATTTGCGGTGATTCGTTCTGTATCTGAAAGGCTTTCCCTCAAGGGGCTGGCACTTAATCTCCTTAGTCATGAGCCTGTATAAGGTATAGGTCTGACCATAACTGAAAACAACTCAGTTGATATTCTCTAATATTCCTTTTTCTATGGCCTTATAACCTGAGCAATTAAGTCCGAAGTGTGCGCTTTAACTCCACGTGCTAATTCTGTACTCCGACTCCCAACAGCTCGCTGCTACCCTGAGTTGTAGGGCCAGGTGCTGCAGAAATAAGGAAAGATGAGCGTGCAGATTCAGAGCCCATGTCATCAGCGTGGGATGCGCTGTGACACTGCTTTTATCTCAGCTCGGTCCTGATGCTGGGAAGCTGCTGAGACTGCAGCGAACTGCATAGATGCAGCCAAACTCCTCAGGAGTGAGTCATTAAGCCTAGGAGAGCACTAGGAATAAGGCAGGTGAAATATCCTGATGTGCTGCTTGATGAAATATGGCAGTGCCAAATCTGGCAAGGGAGGGAAGTAGTAGGGAGTCACTGCTGTAACAGCATTCTACATCGAGACGTTCAGATACGGAGCTATCGTGTCATCTACCTGCACTGCAGACAGCAGGAGGAAACTGTCATTTAAAATTCCCTGGCTTTTATGGGGGTAGCATTGGGGATTTCCCATTGTCTTTCTGCCCTCTCCAATCCTCAACCAGAGTCCTGAAGGGTAAAATGTGATATAATTTTTTTTTTGAAAAAAAAAATCGAAAGAGATCCTGCTGGTTTCAGCTCCTGCAGGAATTTCACAGGCCTCGCCTGCTCTCTGCCTGGTGATGGAGCATTGCCGCTCTCCGTGCTTAGCAAGGACTTCCCACGCCCTCGGGGAAGGGATGCAGGCCCCTGCCCGGCTTTCCTTTTCCACTCCGATCTGCCATCGGCAGACCTCCCGGGGCTGCCTCCATCCCTCGGGGGCACCCTCTGCTCCCCTGTCCGCCCCCACCCTAACCCTCCTTCCTCCGTGCCTTCCCTCCCGTGTCGCCCGGGAGCAGCCCGCGGGCTCCCAGCGCGGTGCCCGGCGGCTCGGGGTC